ATTTTGTTCTTTTTAAAAATCCCCCCCCCCCCCCCCAGTTTTATTCTCTACTGTAATTTACTCTCAATGCCACAAGATGGTGGCAAACAATAACTTTCCTTTCAATGAACCTCTTCATGTCATTTCAACAGTTCCTTGGTACCAAGATGCCACCAGATGGCGCCAAAGCAATTGAAAGAAGAATTGGCCTGACACAAAAACAGCAAATAGGTGAGTTTTTCCCCCTGTTTTTTGTGTACTTCCTAAAATGACAAAGCCATCTCTAATAGAATTGTTGGATGGGGTGGGGGGGGGGGCAGAGCTGCTCTTCTGTGAGGGGATAACCAAGACAGTATAGGAAGTAGGTACCATTGTGGAAAAATTAGACAAGAGGTGTCAAATTAATTTTAGTCACAGGGCAATTGGAGTTACAGTTACCCTCGGAGGGCCGTTATAACTATGAAACCATACAAATGTTTAATCACCTCCTCATGAACAGTACATAACAAAGTAATGCATAATTAATTTTGAAATCACAAGTCACAAGTAATAGTCTATTCAACTATTTTTCAAGTTATGTGCCAAGAAAATGCTTGCACTGTCTCAATGTTAGTATTTATTACAGATAGCAATTTTAAATTTTGGTACAGACTTTAGCAAGCGTCCTGGAAATTGATGTGCTTGATTTGCCTTTGTTGGGCCATATAAAATGATGTGGCCAGACAAATCTGGACCCCGGCCGGGCCTTGAGTTTGACACTTGTGAATGAGACCTTATTCCGCAAATGACAGAAAAGGGCTCCATGGCTGTGTCTCGATCTTTCAGACATTGATTTCCTTTGTGGTACGATACTGCAAATACTCAAATAATCAATCTTTAGAGCTATCAGCTCAAATAGTATTGACCGCCCTCGCCCATCACCACTACAATGGGTGGAATCAACAGCCCGTCACTGTCACAGCACACCCAGTCCGCTATTTTAGTATGCATTTTGGCTTGGAAACACCACTCCCTGTTGGACAAAGCCTGGATAGAGTCTTTCAGGATCTTTGGTGTTTTAAATTACACTGTGAAAAGGTGTTTAGTATTATCTTTGGGGTTGCTTGGAACGTATTAATGTCATTGCAATTAATTTCAATGGGGAAAGACGATTTGAGATATATGCGTTTTGCATTACACGCATGGCCACAGAACGAATTAAATTCATATTCCAAGGCACCACTGCAATTGACAATATATATTTTTTAAAGTCAGTCATTTTCAGATTCTGTCGGGTTTTGTTTTTTTCGGGAAGAATTTGACTCAGTACTACTGGAGTCTTTTTTGACACAAGTGTCAGTACTTCTACTTGAGTACAGAGAGTGAGTACTTTCACTCCTCTGGCGGATGTGACAAGCTGCCTCCAGCACTCGTCGCTGCCAATGACACTGGTCTCATCTTGTGTTGGCTCCATTGGCACTTTGTCTGTCACTGATAACACACCAACTGACACTTTCGGCTCACTGACTCCACTCGGCACTTCCACGCCGACGTCGCTCAGAACCGCCTTCTCTTTCATTTAGTGGGCAGCTCTCCACAAACTTTCCTCTTCACGTCATCATGTCCGAGCGGGCATTTGCATGATTTTTGTGCATCGCTGCCAACGCTTACATCCAAACCACTGCTCCAACAATACCTGTGCAATCAGCTGTGTGCTTCTGCTTTTGCAAGTGTGCGACCGCACACCCACTGGTGCGTGTCTACGCGAGATGATGTGTGTGATGTGTGGAAGCGAAGCATATTTGCCTTCAAGCTATATCATTTGCATACCTGTCACAGGCTCTCCGCTGGGTGTCAGGTGCACTGATGCATAGTGCGTTGCGGTGGCAGCTCTGCTATTTCATGGCTTCCCACTGTTGTGTGGCGCGCGTCTGACTGTCAGCTGACAATGAGTGTGTGTTTGTGTGGATCCAGAGGCAAACACACAGTCCCTGGTGAGGACAACACGATTAAAATCTACAACGGAGGCGTAACGGCGTAAATGTACTTTCAAGTTTGGCCAAGTCTTCAAAGTCAAAGATCTCCTCCACATGATGCATAAACGTGTGCACATGACCGACCGAAAAACAAGGTCCCACATTCTTTCAACGACAATCATTCACAACATTAATTTTCTAAAGCAGTAGCTCTCAAACTTTTTGTGCCATGTTCCGCCTCAAAAATACTTTCCTCTTCAAGTTCCGCCGTAAAATTCAGTAACGTAGTAGGCCTAAGCGTTCATCAAAAATGACGCAGGTGTCTTATTTCTAAAAAGGATATTTATTATTGGAAGCCTCAATATTGTAAGCAGGTTGAACATGAAATTAAGTTAAAAAATCTTCTTCGCAATAATACGTTCTATGCACCCCCACTCATCAAAACAAGACATTCTGATTAATATTGTGTTTCTGTAATGTGAATTAAGCGGAAAAAAAAAAATCACCCGTTGTCATCCATTTTACGTTTTGCTGTCGACTGAAAATGACATCACAGTGTCTAAATGCTCAATTAACTGCCATCACGGTTCACCTCTTTTCTGGGTTTGGTCGTGTGATGTTCGCAAACTGAGCTCTGAGCGACTGTGATGTCATTTTCAGTTGAGGGCAAGTGGCAAAATGGCCGCCCCTGACATATATAAAAATGGGTGGGGCCATGTTTAGACTAGTGGAAGTGCGTCAACCATAGTATTGGAAAGAAAATGAAACCTGGTCGCCAGCCAATCACAGTGGCACACTATTGCTTTGTGCCAAAAAAGTTTCTTCTCCAACCACTATCACACTTTTCCTCTTTGCCTTCACTTCACTACATACCTTCCCCAATGGCATCTCAAATTCTTATTACATCCGAGTTCCCACATTTTCCCTTATCAAATGCTATTTTTTTTTTTTGTTAATGGTTGGACATAAGAGGAATGGCTTTACTTTACAAATGGTTCGACATGGGAGTGAATGTAAGAGGATGCACATGAAGGAAGCACACACACACACACACACACACACACACACACACACACACACACACACACACACACACACACACACACACGCTCGCACGCACGCAAGCAAGCACACACGCACATAGATACCCATACAGGTACCGGATGATTAGAGGACAAAGAGAAGGCAGACAGGATAGAGGATGTCCCTGCTGTTTTGGAGAAGAGGATTCTCAGCTTGACTAGATGATATAATGAGCTGTTATGTTCTGGGTGATGAGACGAGAGGAAAGGACAGGCTGGAGGAGAGAGGAGGACATGAGTGGTACATACACACACACACACACACACACACACACACACACACACACACACACACACACACACACACACACACACACACACACACACACATATGGATCACTTTCAAACTGTGACAAAAAGTCTGAACTGTGAGAAATGTGAAGAGGCCAGTTTTGTTGAAGGACAGTGAAGTGGGTGTCTAAGTGGCCATTATTTATTTGTTATGTGTTAGTTTTGTCTGTAGATGATTGTGTGTCAGGGTGGGAAGTGTGCATTTGTGTGTGTCAGGGGGGGTGAAGGAAGGTTGGTGGAGGTGCTAAAGGTCTCTGTTGATGATTTGTACGCTCCATCGAGCAGAGCGCTGGGGCGGAAAAAGCGACATGGTCGGTTCCTTCAACCTGCCTGACCCCAATCTCCAGTCTGCACCGGGTCCCCCTGTGCAGCTTGCCCACCACACGAGACCCTGCCTCATTGTGACCCTCCCCTTTTCAGAAATGAACACACACACACACACACACACACACACACACACACACACACACACACACACACTTGACTGGAGAACACAAAAAAAAGATCATTGAAGTCCACCCACCAGGGGCGGACTTCTCTGCCAATTTGACCTTGATCAGAAATGGAAAAGAACCAACATCAGAAGCCGAAAGACCCCCAAGTCCTATAACTGCATGGTATAGTCTTAGCTTCGACTTTAGTAGAACTCGCGCAAGCGTTACACGTTATGATACCAATCGAAAACTATTTCACATCCCAGTTTTTCCCAGCAAAGCCGCCGTGTGCAGCCGCACATACTGCACATACCAGAAAGTGCCATTGCGTATCCTGTTCAGGGTCACGGCAAAACTGAAGTCAGCCGACTTTGAGGGAAAAAAGGTGGACTACAATCAGACCAAACGCAGGGCACTTGCGAATGGCTTTTTAGGTGTGAATCAATCCCACATCAGCTGCATGATAGTCACCAATGTGAAGCACTACACCAACCGCCCTCATCATAAAGAAATATAATCCAAAAAATGGGGAAAAAAATCCACTGCATCTGCATCTTCAGCAACAGATCTAGAGTGCTCCTAGGAAACCAACAATTAAAAAAACAAAACAAAACAGTATACCGGTACTATTATTTATAAAAAATACAATATAACAGATTTTTTTTTCATCCATCTATTTACCGAGCCGCTTCTGAATATTAAAATGAAACCGACCACATTCACACATGACTTGGCCCATCTGTTTGTTTTCAAAATCCAATGTGACCCTAAAAGCCCTAGAAGTGCGCCCTCCCGTATTATGCTGGAACTCAACAGGATTGTTTCAAAGACATTATTTCTCCTCAAATCCAAACTTTTTTTTTTTGACACTATGCCTACACCGACAAGACATACATTCGCCAAATAATAACTGACTTGAACTCAAATTTTGACCAAGGTATGAGTAATATTGGTCATAAGCATAACTATACAAAAAAGACATTCCACACAGCTCTCAATATGACGCAGTGCAGTTTGCACACATTGTTCCAGTACATCAAATGTTTAGTTCTGAAGAGCCAACCACTAACCCTTCTCTGTGACAGTGCGAGAGTGTCCAGGCTTGGCACTAGAGGGCACTAAGGCTACATCCACCAACCAACCTCCCCTTCCATCCGCAGGAGAAATGCAGGAACACTTAAACACATCACATGTAAGACTCCTTATCGCTCCTCTCTAAAACGCTTGCCAAGATCTCAGCGCCATCGGCCCGCTCTTGGGAGCACTCCAGTCTGGAGAAGGTCAGCTGAAAGGGAAAACTTCCTCCTCCTATCAGTGTCCATTAAGACACGGGCGACCTTCAGCGTCCGTGATGTGCGTTTGTGCGTCCCGACGATTGCGTTTGACAGGTGTCTTGTTCGGCTCATTGTTCGATTGTTTGGCGCAATCAAAGCGTCACTGACTACACGGGAGCTCCTCGTCTTCTCGAGCGCCTTTGTGTATGGAATCAATAGACGCGGCTTTCGCATCCCTGTTGTAACTCTGTCACGTCGAGAGGCGACAAAAAGAGCAACGCGGCTTTTGTCGCGAGCGCACACGACCTGATGCAAACTCACCCACAAAGACTCGTGTGCGTTTGTCATTTCGTTGACACGCCGGCAACTAATTAGCAGACACAAAAGGAACGTTACGGTTGCGCTCTGCACTAACATAAAGTGAATAGAAGCCACACCGCCGAGGATACATGTCTCCTCGGTGTAGGCCACGGGAGCCGTGCTGCCAGAGGTCATGTAGCTGTAGAAAGACACCTCCAGAGTGTAGCAGTAGGACGTGTCGTCAAGGAGACCGCCGAGGAAACGTCTGCCGGTGCCGGCCTTCACCACGTCACGGTTAAAGGACGTGTTGGACTGCAAGGGAAGAACAATACACGGGAGGCGAGATGAAAAGCATTTTCTTTTCACCGTTGTGTTTCCATTTTGACAAAAACATAAATGGTGCACATGTTTTTTTTTTAATTGATGTCATTCTTTTGTATTACAAAATTGTTCAGTGTGTGTACCGTGAGGCTGTTCATTGAGGATGAAGCTCCGCATGTTCCCGAGTTCCCAACCTACATCTGAAACGAGACTTTTGCACGATCCTGCTACTACAACCACATAACGACACTCGCGCGTGCAACGATAAAAGTTGTAACTTGTAGCAAACGTAATCTGTTTCTGTAAAAACGCCTCTCACAAAATGGAAATGACGATGGAAACAAAACCCGTTTGGTGTGTGGGCGTCAGCGATGCGACACAACTCAGTGTGTGTACCGTGAGGCTGTTCATTGAGGATGAAGCTCCGCATGTTCCCGAGTTCCCAACCTACATCTGAAACGAGACTTTTGCACGATCCTGCTACTACAACCACATAACGACACTCGCGCGTGCACCGATAAAAGTTGTAACTTGTAGCAAACGTAATCTGGTTCTGTAAAAACGCCTCTTACAAAATGGAAATGACGATAGAAACAAAATCCATTTGGTGTGTGGGCGTCAGCGATGCGACACAATGTTAACGGTGTCTTGGAAAGCACATTGTGAAAAGATAAAAAAAGAAAAAGTGACCATTACCTGCCACTCTTGCTGTGCTGCTTTGCTGAAATTCAAACCTGCTGCCACCGGTGGGATTTTGCCATGATTGTGTTGTGCTGCTGCAGCAGTGCATTGTGGGTAGCGCTGAATGGCCAGAGGGGCCAAAGCACAGGGAAAGGAGATGACCGACCCCTGGGCCAGATGTCCCACGAGCAATATTTGGCTTGAGTTCACTTCCCACGTTATTAAAATACAATTCATAAATGCGAACCTTTTTGGAAAAGAGTTTGAATACTGAACTGAACACACTTAAATTGGAGAAAATAGAAGGAAGGCCACAAAGAAAGCAATATTTCCAAACCATCCAGCTGGACTGTATCCAGGGAGTTTTTTTCTTTCGGTGGATCTTCACAAATCAACACAAAATGACACAATATACGAATACCAAAAATGACAGGTAGGAATAAAATAGCGTTATAATAGCGCCATTCCAGGGACTCCAGGTCGCTAACTACAAATTAATAAAACTGACTAAAACAAAATCCGATGTATTCTAAAAAAAGCCAAGCTGAACAAAATATCATACGAACAAAACAATGATCACAGATTCAATACTATGTTCTGTTCTGAAAGACTGATTCAGAATCATAAAAATCTAGCACAATTCAAGTAGTTCTAATATTTTGCCACACTGATAAAATGAGAAAAGCTCAACATGAGATGAGTGAAAAATTGAGCATTATCTTTGCAAGCAGTTTTTTTTTTTTTTTTTTTTTTTTGAATGTCCCTACCCATAAATCTCCTCAAGTACAGTATTAGTAACTCTTTTGCAACTTGGATTTTGGTAACAGTACATAGTCCAGTATCTCCCAAGTATTAAGAACCAGCAATACGCTCGGACAGAAAGAATGATAAGAGACCCCTCTGGGTGAGTGTGTGCGTGTGCCCGTGTGCTTGTGTGTGCGCACGCACGTGTCAGGACTCACAAAGGAGAAGTCGTGTGCATTGTGGCACAGCAGTCTGGGGAAGACGGCCTGTCTCTGGACGCGCTCCTCGTCCTCGAACACGTTGCCGTACATGAAGCCGTTCAGCATGGTGGAGTGAGCGTGGACGTCGATGTAGAACTCCAAGCTAACACTCTGATGTCGCAACACAATGGGGGAGAGAGACACATGGGGAAACAGAAGAAAAACAGCTAGTTTGAGTGGTGAGCAAAACATTTTGTGACACTGTGCGCTTCCAACGCGGGAAGTCCGCAAAACAAACTACAACTAACATGGACAGCCATTATGTCATTCCATCCATCCATTTTCCGATCCGCTTTATCCTCACAAGGGCCGCGGAGGGTAGGCCGGAGCCGGGATTGAACCCACGACCTCTGCACAGTGAGATCAACGCGCCCCCATTCAGTCATTTCTTGATCAATTCATATCATCATTGTATACTGTATTTTCCCCACCGTTTATTTTTCTTCCCCGTGATTCAGTTATGACAGGGCCCGTTGAATTCAGCAAAGCAACAAGTGATGCCTGACGCACGCAGCGAGGTCCACTCGACGCCAACGTCTTCGGATTTTTGTTTGCGCGTTGCGGTTTAAACATGATCATTGGTGTGAGATCAACGTGCCCCCATTCAGTCATTTCTTGATCAATTCATATCATCATTGCATACTGTATTTTCCCCAGTTTATTTTTTTTCCCCGTGATTCAGTTATGACAGGGCCCGTTGAATTCAGCAAAGCAACAAGTGATGCCTGACGCACGCAGAGAGGTCCACTCGACGCCAATGTCTTAGGATTTTTGTTTGCGCGCGCGGTTTAAACATGATCATTGAAAAAGAATTGAAAAAATAAATTTGCATATTTGATCTTGAGATTTATTGATTAAAAAATAAATTATTTGCCATTCGGCGTTATATTTGGGAATCATGAATGTGTGTCGATCATTTCATTGAAACGCACTCTGCCAAATGGACAAACATCCATTTGGAGAAAAGTGATGACCAAACTGGCACGCGGAGCCAAATAAAATATTGAACAGTACCACCTGTTCTCATCCATCCATCCCTTTATCCATTCATGACACTGCATATTCTGTTCAAGATCGAGGGCCGCAGGAGCCTATTCCTTTCTGACTTTGGGCAAAGGGCAGACGACACCTTGGGGTGGTCACCGGTTAATCACAGGATACATTTTAAGACAAGCATTTGCTCTCCCATTCAAACTGTCACTGAGTGGGAACTGAACCCATAGCCTGGCAGGTGAACCATTACATCATCAATGACTCACATTAATCCAGAGAAGTATTATTATGAGGCGTAAATGCGATCAGCAACTCTAACCTACAGTACATTTCTAAAAGAATTTCTTCTACTTGTTCCATGAAATCATATCAATTTATTCCCAGGAGTCTCTTGTCTTCTTTTTGTAGTGTTTCCATTGGCAGCATTGCTTCCAGTTTGTGTTTGTGGACTATGATGCCATGTCAGTGGAATCTGCCCAATCATGCTGCCTTAAAACATTTTCGTAATCGGATGATTTTAAATTTGCCTTCCCGTCAGCCTTTTTCTGTCCTCTGATCGGTAGGTCAGAGGGAAAATTGTTCCAGCCAGATTTGATTAGCTAGCGAGGTCTTCGGTGATCTACACATCTACGTTTTTGATGGCCAAAATGGCTGAAAAATAGACTTGGTCTCAGACGTACCGGTACTTGGAAAAATACATTTTCATGGCGGACTTTTCCAAAATGGCTAAACATCGCGAGGTCTCAATTTCTACAGTATTGATGGTTCCTATGGTGATGGTAATGATCCAGATATCAGGTTCATGCCTTGCCACTGATTGCAATCCATCTTGCTTCTCACATTTACATTAAAAGCCGAATGTACTTATGAAACATTTATTGCACATGCTAGCAAACAATCCCAAGCATGTAAAAAATGAGCCACGTCTTAAACTGTTTGTGACAAGGGCACGGGTGTAAGCTTACTTGCAAAGCCACCCACACTGTACACTTGTATACCTCTATCGTTCTTCCTCTTTCCCCGACCGCCGTCTACCTCCTTTCCCTCTCATTGCACATTCAGCAGCTCACTTTATTCCCCGTGTTTGGAGAGAGAGGGGGGCCGAAACACAGTGAGGAAGGCAGAGAGGTGGAACAACTATAACAGAGAAAACAAGGAGCGAAAACAGCACGGGGAGAAAGGTTGGCGGTGAAATATGGGGGCTGGGAGACGCCCACTAGCAGCCCCCGACAACCTGATGGATGGAGCCCCAGAGGAGAAAGGGAACGGCAGCAGGGGGAAGGCGCAAAAGGAGGAGGGAGGAGGACAGTGTGGAAGGAAAAGAAAAAAAAGGGCGAGGGGGGAAAAAAAAAGGAGCACGAGGCGATGGAAGGAAATTCAGGGCGAAGGTAATATATCGAGACAAAAAGATGAAACGGAGGGAGCCGGGCCAGTATATAAAGAGACAGCGCCCGATCAGCCTCCATTAAGGCCAAGAGTGGCATTGGGGGGGGGGGGGGGACCAAATGGGCCGCGGTCTAGACGGTGGAAACCAGCCTAATAATCACATGGTTGCCCCCATGCCTCGGGGTGGGGAGGAGGAAATAGTGAAGGTGAGGCGTTTCGTAATTTGAGGTGAGGAGGGAAGATAAGCAGGTGATACTGACTTGTACTTATTAGGCGTGGAACGGTTCGCAATGTCCGCCGTTAGGTTCATAACACAGTTTTGGGGGCATTTGTTTTTGGTTGGGTTCGGTACTGACTGTTCAGAACATCTAATCACGTTTCGTATCGTTCTACGTCGTCTCGTCTAGAGGGTTTGATTTTTGGCACATCATCGTGATGGATGTTAATCCAACATGCTTTTCATTTATTCAGCAAAGAAAATCATCGAATATAATGGTCATTCACTGTGGCTAAAATATATTGAATCTTTTGTGCTTTGTGGGCACAAACGGTTAATCTTTCGTGCATCTAGAGAATTTGTTTTCGAGCCACAATTCATATCAATGATATAAAGTGAAGCACAAACGACATCTTGTCACAATATCTTGTTCTCCATTCTCAGTGACTTTGTGAAGTCGCGAGCCGTTTGGATCCATAATTGACGGCCGCTTGATCACGGATAGGGATGTCGTCTGTATGGTTTTGCGCATGAAACATCCTGTCAGCTTGTGAGTGTTTGCACTTTTGTTCGCGGAAGAGGCAAACACAAACATGATCAAGTTATAGAAAATCAATCAATCATTTCTATAATTTGGGGGAAACCGAGCAAACCGTAGAAAAGAAATGTTTTGATTAATTTAACTCGCCCCGTAGTCCAAGCGTAAAACTGACTCAGGTCCATAAATGCGTATTACATCTTGCAGTGAACATCAAAACCATAATAATCAATATGTTGATAAGTGGTTAGCAAATCTGCCTGACAGTGCCGGGGTTCTGAGGAATCTCGAGTTTGCATGTTCTCCCCTTGCTTGCGTGGGCTTTCCAGATCCTCCTTGCCTCCTCCCACCTTCCAAAAACATGAACGTTCGGGCCACTGAAGACTGTAAAATGCTCCCAGCAATTGATTGCCAACTAGTCCAGCATGTACTCCGCCTCTTGCCCAAAGTCATATTCACATTTTTGAAATCGGAGTGTACATAAATGCACTTACACAGCCTTCATTCATAATTGGAAAGGTTTTCCTTTTTACTTTAAAATAACTTACTGTCACTTACAGTTTCCTTTAGCGTACACTGGCCAGTGGCAGAACCAAATGTGCCCCCCCCCCCCCCCTCCGACCCCCCACACACACTTTTGGTAAAGTTTTACATCCCTCTGTGTTGTATTGTACTAGCTAGCTAAGCTAACCCGTGTAGTAGGTTTGTCTCTCCGGTCCAAACGCGACAAAGGCCTTGATACACTGCCAACATGGGCTTTATTGATTGATTACTTAACAGTTCAATTTATTGATCATTTGCCAGTTAAACATTCACATATATGTGCAAACACATCCGGGCGTGGCTCTCAAAGACCACGCTTCACACGAAGCTCACAGATATGTCACACAGGAATTTGATGGGCAAATATTTAAAGCAGCGATGTTCCATATACTGGACATGTGTGCTCGGCTGTCGTCTCCCCTGACTTTGACGCCGCTGGTGGTATGTTATGCTAACACCCTGGACTTCTGTTTCTCCCATTTTTACTTGGAAGTTCAGCCCTCCCGTTGACAGCCTCGGGCTTTTTACGTCATGTCTTCGCTATCGCTAGCGTTCTTTGACCCTAAACCATCACTGTGCTGGAGCCATCAGGAAACGGATTTCCTCAAGCATGAATATCAAGCGTGTATTTAGGTCGTTGTCTATGCTATGGCGTGGAGTGACAAAATGATGGTTCTGGGCCACTGAAGAGCAAATATATATCTTGCCATCAGTGAAAGCAGAGCATGCAAGGCCCTCTGGACAAAAACGTACAAAAAAAAAAGAGATGTTGAGTTTAAATGTTTTTTCTTTTCTTTTCTTTTTTTGGACAAATCCCAATTAATTCAAAGCAGGTTTGTTCCCAGATTGAATTCTCCTTCACAACATCCCATGAAGGACAGTTATGACGCCTTGGTCACACAAATAACAGCCCACCACAAAGTCACGTCCAAGCTGACGACAATGCTAGGGCTAATGCACTGTCAATCAAACAGAGACAGTTCTGCAGGCCGCCTATCGTGATTGATGCTTCAATTAGCAACCCGCTCTGACCTACAGAATTGTTCATTTGAAATTGTAATTAAGCAATTAGGGGCAATTAAGAAACAGACACTGCTGAATGAAAGTCAAAAGACAATTTGAGCGGGTGAGCAAGAGGACCGGCGAGGGAGCGAGCGATCCAAATGAACGCTCTCCAAGAGAAGACAAACAAAATCTCAGCGCTAAAAAAACTCCAGGGAAAAAAAAAAAACGCTCCACTTGTGTTGAACTTGCGGTGGCCGTAAACAGTTTAGTGTAAATCCAAGAAGGTCAAACGAATGAATTTTGTCTTACAAGTGGTTATCTGCTGAATGTTAATTAGAGCAGGGTGCGGTGTGCGGTGAGAGCCATAAATGCACAGCTTATCCTTACACGGGGAGGGGGGGAAAAAGAGCTGATTGAAGCAGGATTACA